GAACTGCAGGAGGGCCAAGAGAGGAGTACGAAGAAAACAACAGGGTGATGGTGGACACACTGGCTGAGGTGGCAAGAAGAGCTCACTCGAGCAGAGCAAAGTTACTGGTAATGGGCGTTTTTCAACCACAGGGAGATCGAGTGGGAAAACCTGGAGCCACATGGGGGTCCCGAAACATGGAGAGCCAAGATGATGGATGTGGTACTTGAAACCTCATGCATCAACATGCCCAGGGACACAACCAGAGACAGAGGGGAGGATGAGCCAGCAAGACTGGATCTTGTGTTCACCCTGAGCAGTTCAGACATCGAGGACATCACTTACGAGAGGCCCCTTGGAGCTAGCGATCATGGGGTTCTGAGTTTTGACTATATAGTAAGTTACAAGTGGAAAAGGGTAACAGGAACTGAAGGGGACAGGCCAAACTATAAAAGGGGGACTACACAGGTATGAGGAACTTCCTGCAGGAGGTTCATGGGACAGAGAAATGGTAGGAAAATCAGTAAACGAGATGATGGAATATGTGGCAACAAAGTGCAAGGAGGCAGAGGAAAGTTTTGTTCCCAAGGGAAACAGAAATAATAGGAAGACCAAAACGAGTCCTTGGTTTAACCCGAAGGTGTAGGGAGGCAAAAACTAAGTGCAACAGAGAATGGAAAAGGTACAGGAGGCATAGGACCCAGGAAAACAAGGAGATTAGTAGAAGAGCCAGAAACGAGTATGCGCAGATAAGGAGGGAGGCCCAGCGACAGTATGAAAACGACATAGCATCGAAAGTCAAATCTGACCCGAAACTGCTGTATAGCCACATTAGGAGGAAGACAACATCAAGGACCAGGTGATAAGGCTGAGGAAAGAAGGTGGAGAACTCACAAGAAACGATCAAGAGGTATGTGAGGAGCTCAACACGAGATTTAAGGAAGTATTTACAGTAGAGACAGGAAGGACTCTGGGGGGACAGACCAGATGGGGACACCAACAAGGAATACACCAACAAGTGTTGGACGACATACATACAGAAGAGGAGAGGTGAAGAAACTGCTAAGGGACATCGATACCTCAAAGGCAATGGGACCGGACAACATCTCTCCATGGGTCCCTTAGAGAGGGAGCAGATATGTGTGTGCATACCACTTACCACAATCTTCAACACATCCCTGGAAACTGGGCAACTACCTGAGGTATGGAAGACGGCAAATGTAGTTCCCATTTTCAAAAAAGGAGACAGAAAAGAGGCACTAAACTATAGACCTGTGTCATTGACGTGTATAGTATGCAAAATTATGGAGAAGATTATCAGGAGAGAGTGGTGGAGCACCTGGAACGGAACAGGAGTATAAATGCCAACCAGCACGGATTCACGGAAGGCAAATCCTGTGTCACAAACCTTCTGGAGTTTTATGATAAAATAACAGAAGTAAAGACAAGAGAGAGAGGGGTGGGTTGATTGCATCTTCTTGGACTGCAAGAAGGCCTTTGACACAGTTCCTCACAAGAGATTAGTGCAGAAGCTAGAGCATCAGGCGCATATAACAGAAGAGCACTGCAATGGATCAGAGAATACCTGACAGGGAGGCAACAACGAGTCATGGTACGTAATGATGTATCACAGTGGGCACCTGTGACGAGCGGGGTCCCACAGGGGTCGGTCCTAGGACCAGTGCTATTTTTGGTATATGTGAACGACATGACGGAAGGGTTAGACTCAGAAGTGTCCCTGTTTGCAGATGATGTGAAGTTTAATGAGGAGAATTAAATCTGATGAGGACCAGGCAGGACTTCAAAGAGACCTGGACAGACTGGACACCTGGTCCAGCAAATGGCTTCTCGAATTTAATCCTGCCAAATGCAAAGTCATGAAGATAGGGAAGGGCACAGAAGACCACAGACAGAGTATAGGCTAGGTGGCCAAAGACTGCAAACCTCACTCAAGGAGAAAGATCTTGGGGTGAGTATAACACCGAGCATGTCTCCGGAAGCACACATCAATCAGATAACTGCTGCAGCATATGGGCGCCTGGCAAACCTGAGAACAGCATTCCGACACCTTAGTAAGGAATCATTAAAGACACTGTACACCGTGTATGTCAGGCCCATACTGGAGTATGCAGCACCTGTTTGGAACCCGCACTTGATAAAGCACGTCAAGAAACTAGAGAAAGTACAAAGGTTTGCAACAAGGTTAGTTCCAGAGCTAAGGGGAATGTCCTATGAAGAAAGATTAAGGGAAATCGGCCTGACGACACTGGAGGACAGGAGGGCCCAGGGAGACATGATAACGACATATAAAATACTGCGTGGAATAGACAAGGTGGACAAGGACAGGATGTTCCAGGGAGGGGACACAGAAACAAGAGGCCACAATTGGAAGTTTGAAGACACAAATGAGTCAGAGAGATAGTAGGAAGTATTTCTTCAGTCATAGAGTTGTAAGGCAGTGGAATAGCCTAGAAAATGACGTAGTGGAGGCAGGAACCATACACAGTTTTAAGACGAGGTTTGATAAAGCTCATGGAGCGAGGAGAGAGAGGGTCTAGTAGCAACCGGTGAAGAGGCGGGGCCAGGAGCTAGGACTCGACCCCTGCAACCACAAATAGGTGAGTACAAATAGGTGAGTACACACACACACACAGGATCATGGGGTGAATATAACACCAGGCACATCTCCTGAGGCGCACATCAGCCAAATAACTGCTGCGGCATACGGACGCCTAGCAAAACTAAGAACAGCATTTCGATATCTCAATAAGGAATCGTTCAGGACCTTGTACACCGTGTACGTTAGGCCTATACTGGAGTATGCAGCACTAGTTTGGAACCCACACCTAGCCAAACACGTAAGAAAATTAGAGAAAGTGCAGAGGTTTGCAGCAAGACTAGTCCGGGAGCTAAGGTGTATGTCTTACGAGGAGAGGTTAAGAGAAGTCGACATGACGACACTGGAGGACAGGAGAGATAGGGGGGGGATATGATAACGACATATAAAATACTGAGAGGAATCGGCAAGGTGGTCTGAGACAGGATGTTCCAGAAATGAGACACAGCAACAAGGGGTCACACTTGGAAGTCGAAGACTCAGATGAATCACAGGGGTGCTAGGAAGCACTTCTTCAGTCACAGAGTTGTCAGGAAGTGGAACAGTTTGGGAAGTGATGTAATGGAGGCAGGATCTATACATCATAGCTTTAAGAAGAGGCATGATAAAGCTCATGGAGCAGGAAAAGTGATCTAGTAGCGACCAGTGAAGAGGCGGGGCCAGGATCTGTAAATCGACCCCTGCAACCACAACTAGGTGTGTACACACACACACCAATTCCAAGCTCAATTAAATGGGAAAAAAATCAGATTTAAGCAAGAATAAGTCACTCCTGAATGACCTCGTTTTCTTCGAGAGAGAAAATGGGAAGTGGCAGCCCTAGCAGCGGGAACTAACAAAGTTAGTTATCCATGCAATTGTCCATTATAACCTTAGCCTCACCCAGCTCCCTGGCGCTTCCTAGTGCTTCCTATTGTTTCCTAGTGCTTGCTTGTCCTTCCTAGTGCTTCATGGTGTTTCCAGGTGCTTCTTAGTCCTACCTAGTGCTCCTTGGTGCTACCTAGTGCTCCTTGGTGCTACCTAGTGCTCCTTGGTGCTACCTAGTGCTCCTTGGTGCTACCTAGTGCTTCTTAGTGCTACTTAATGCCTCTTTGTGCTTTCTAATGTTTCTTGGTGCTTCCTGCTTCTTCCCGGAACTTTCTAGTGCTTCTTAAAGTTTTCTGGTGAGTTATACCCAATTTCGTGACAACTTTCTTGAATTTATGTGACTTCTAAAAAAAATACTGAAATGAAATCCTGAGAGAGAGAGAGAGAGAGAGAGAGAGAGAGAGAGAGAGAGAGAGAGAGAGAGAGAGAGAGAGAGAGAGAGAGAGAGAGAGAGAGAGAGAGAGAGAGAGAGAGAGAGAGAGAGAGGGAGAGAGAGAGGATAAATATTAAGTGTTACCTATTTGCAGTTAGGAGAGAAGCACACTGCTCCTTAGGTTCCTCCATCACTGTTATTTCCATTTCAACTTTTTTTTTCCATTTCCCAGGATGCGACCCAGAACACTCGACTAACGCCCAGGTACCTATTTACTGCTAAGTGAACAGGTGCAACAGGTGTAAGAAGACATGCATATTTCTTGCTTTAGCCGGGAATCGAACCCGGGCCTTCTCAGTTGTGTGCCGTCTACTTTAACTCGAATCTTGAAACTAATTCATATTTGAGGGATGTTCCCCTTCAAGGGAGGTTCCTTGATGCTGGTAAAGGGCTCTGGGTCCAAGGATTTAGACCTATCCTCTACTAAGAAAAGCGTGTGCAGTCATACTGAGCCTTTGTTGACGATGTTTCGCCCACTCCAAGAACTTCTTCAAGGGCAATCTGTCCCCCTCCCTCTTTGTTGACGATGTTTCGCCCACTCAGAGAACTTCATCAAGGGCCATCTGCCCCCCCCCCCTCCTTATGACTGTCTCTGGAAATAAGACAGTCCCTAATGACGCACTGACCTTACTGGGTTATCCTGAGAGGCTAACTTTCTGTATCCTGGTTAAAAATCCCAACAAAACCTCATACTACTATTAAAGACTTATTTAATAACTCTACTGGACAAACACAGTATTGCCTGACATTGCTTCACTAGGAGTGCCTTAATACCGGCGAAGGGATTTCTGATCTCAAGGCTTAAGAAATTCCTCCCTCTTCCTAAGCTCAAACTTAATTACCTCCCAATCACTTGGTGCTACATAAATGGGTTTAGCACTTTCCTGTAATGTAGTATTCTAAGTTTATGACTGTGAGGGGAGAAAATCACATAAAAATTGTTCTTAAGTTTTCTTGCAGAGTTCAGATGTGTAACAGCTGTGAAAGAGAGACTGGCTGAACCAGAGTAACGCTTGATAGCACCATCTGTTAGTTATAATTGTAGTTATTTGTTGGCGTCTCTGGTACTAGTTACAGTGTCACATCCTGTTAGCATTAGCACTGTGTTAGGTAAAAGGACACAAGTGCAGCTGATGTGACAGTTTATTGTGGCAACGTTTCACTCACCAGAAGCTTTGACAAGCCGTTATGTAGCAGCTTGACAAAATTCCTGGAGAGCGAAATGTTGCCGCAATAAAATGTCACGTCACATTAGCCGCACTTGTGTCTTTTTACCTAACATACTGTGGGTAATTCCACCAACATTATTACAACATTAGCGCTGCCTGGTATCCGTCTTGCATCAGGATGGCTGCTGCTCCCACAGCTGTTCTCATACATTAAGCTATTTTTTTGTGTTGAGTGTCTCTGTTCGTCGTTTTTATTATTTGTTAATTATACCCATAAATTTTATTGTGTTGCATATTTTTTGAAGGTTGTGAAAGCTAAGTGATTTACGCTGTCAAAGACTTTTTAGATTTTTGTCACTGAAGTGGCTAGTTTATTATGCATCCTGTGGAGGGTAACTCGGTCAAATTGTTCAGTAAACGTCACAACTGCTACTGTTACTACTAATTAAGGTGAACTAGCGATGAATTTGTTCTTTGATTCTGGGATTTTTGTTTTGAAGTTTTTATTTATGTACAAGTACACATAAATACAGTTACATAGATTATCATACATAGCAGCATTTGTGTAGATTACCTAGGATAACCCAAAAAAAGTCAGAGTGACTTATTTTCATTGGGGTCCTTGACGGCTTAGTACTGGTCTTTATTGTTAATAGTAATGAATATAAAAGACGTTAGCCTTTTTTTCATTCACCTTCATTGACATAAGTTTGATCATGTAGTGACCTATTGTTTCTTCAACAGTTGCAGCTGTGTTCTGCTCTGCTACAGACACTTGTGTACAGCAGTTGCCGAACTCTGGGGAAAATACTCAATGAAGTCTCTGGGGACTTAAGTAACTACAAGCCCATCAAGTCTTCCATATATCTTGCAACAGTAGATCAATGTACAGCCTTCACTCTCATGGTTGTGAGAACATCAACAATCACCATCCCAGAGACACCATCACATCGTGGTAAGAAAAATATTTTGTATTCTCGACAGTGATGTCTAGATTGATGGACTGAACATATCGACTTAAGGCTGAGGGACGGATTACCTCAGACTCCCCCTGTTCTCCGCCATTCTCCTTTGTATGGCGGTATAGTCCTTGTGGCTTAGCGCTTCTTTTTGATTATAATAATCTCCTTTATATGGACTGATGAAGCCACTGTGTGGCGAAACGTTTCCTCATTAAAGATACGCTAATGTTGCACATGTATCTACTTTATCATTCTCGACAGTGTATATATTGATGTAAATAATTTAGAAAACCTACAAATTTAATAATTGGACACTAACAACATTTGGGAAGCTTCATTGTGGAAACACATCGACTCCAGGCTGAGGGACGGATTACCTCGTACATCAGTTTGCGTGCGGCCAGCAGTAACCACCTGGTTGATCAGACCCTGATCCACCATGAGGCCTGGTCTCCGACCGAGCCGCGGGGGCGTTGACCCCCGAAACCATCTCCAGGGAAACTCCAGGTAAAGGACTGATGAACCACTGGCTGGCATCACATCTGCTGGGTGTGAGAAGTTACTTCAGAGGCACCTAAGTTCCCTGTCTTCTAACTTGTTCATTTTACCACTATAATCTACCTTATCCATAACTACTATCACATTTGCTTTGTCTCTTAAGGTGAAGTCCAGGATCTTATCTTAACTCATGGTATAATTTAATAAATCTTTGAGGACAATTGTTCTCAGTGACCTGGTTCATATCTTTCTCAGTGACCTGGTTCATATCTTTGTTCTCAGTGACCTGGTTCATATCTTTGTTCTCAGTGTCCTGGTTCATATCTTTGTTCTCAGTGACCTGGTTCATATCTTTGTTCTCAGTGACCTGGTTCATATCTTTGTTCTCAGTGACCTGGTTCATATCTTTGTTCTCAGTGACCTGGTTCATATCTTTGTTCTCAGTGACCTGGTTCATATCTTTGTTCTCAGTGACCTGGTTCATATCTTTGTTCTCAGTGACCTGGTTCATATCTTTGTTCTCAGTGACCTGGTTCATATCTTTGTTCTCAGTGTCCTGGTTCATATCTTTGTTCTCAGTGACCTGGTTCATATCTTTGTTCTCAGTGACCTGGTTCATATCTTTGTTCTCAGTGACCTGGTTCATATCTTTGTTCTCAGTGACCTGGTTCATATCTTTCTCAGTGACCTGGTTCATATCTTTGTTCTCAGTGACCTGGTTCATATCTTTGTTCTCAGTGACCTGGTTCATATCTTTGTTCTCAGTGACCTGGTTCATATCTTTGTTCTCAGTGACCTGGTTCATATCTTTGTTCTCAGTGACCTGGTTCATATCTTTCTCAGTGACCTGGTTCATATCTTTGTTCTAAGTGACCTGGCTCATATCTTTGTTCCCCGGGGACCTGGGTTTATATCTTTGTTCCAGTGACCTTGGGTTTATACTTTTTTCCTCAGTGACCTGGTTCATATCTTTCCCCGTGACCTGGTTCATATCTTTTTTTCTCAGGAACCCGGTTCATAAACTTTTTGTTTTTTTCCCCGTGAAACCCGGTTCATATCTTTTTTTTTCTCCCGTGGGCCTGGTTTTATATTTTTTGTTCTCATGACCTGGTTTATATCTTTGTTTTCAATGACCTGGTTCAAATCTTTTTTCAGTGAAACCCGGGTTTATATTTTTTGTTCTTTAAATGACCGGGTCAAATTTTTTGGTTTCTCGGTGCCCCCCCCGGTTCATATCTTTGGGGAAAATAAAAATATGCGGCATAATTTTTACTCTTGGAAATTTACGACTTTTCACCCACAAAGTGGCCATTTTCAATTCCCCAAACAAATCTTTTGGCTTGATAAAGGCCTTGGTGGGCGAAACGTTGTTTTAAAAAATCACATTATATTGCTTTTGTTTATTTTTCCCCCTCAAAGCGTATTATATTGACCCCTATCTTTTTCCTTTTTTTTTTTTTTGGGGGGGGGGAAAAGTTTAAAAAAAATTTAAATTTTTCTTAAACTTATTTTGGCTTTTAATAGACTTTTTTTTCAAATATTACTACTCTTCTGGGCCCGGACCCTTTTTTGCAGTTTCATTATTTGACTTGTTTTTTTGGATAAAAATTTTTAGGAAGAAGGGGGGGGGGGGGGCTGGAGGGGTTTAATTTTTAAGGGCTTTTGGGCACAAAACCCAACATAAATTGATAAAATTTCGTTCTTGGGTTTTTTTTTTTTGTTTTTATTACCACCCCGGGACAAACACTTCTCATGTCAGGAAAATTTTGACCAGTGGCAAAAATTTTTCTCTCTCCTCTCTCTCTCTCTCTCCCTTTCTCCTCCTCTCTTTTCTTCCCCCCCTCCCCCCTCCCTTTCTCTTCCTCTCTCTCCTCTCCCCCCCCCCTTCTTCAATCCCCCCTTCCCCCCCTCCAAACCATTCCCCCCCCTCTCCCCCTTTTCTTCCTCCCCTCTCTCTCTTCCCCTTTTCCTTTTACATTAATCATTCAGTAGACTGGTTTAAAACCAACCCTAATGTAATTGGGTTCATTATTCGTACAATTGTTTTATTAAAATTCTCCCTTTTACAGTACATTTTGTAAGTACTCTTATACAGTACTGTATAATAAAAAAATATTTGGCCCTTTTCCCAAATGACACACCCAAAACTGAACAAAAATACTGAACACAATATATTTCACAATACGATAAAAACAATACTGATAAAAAAATACTGAAAAAAAAATACTGATACACAAAACTTTATACACAATTTCTGACGCACAAAACTGACACAATACTGACCCAAAAATAAATGACACAAAATAAATGACGCCCAATACTGGGGCCAATAATGACACACAATACTGACACAAAAATACTGAAAGCACAAAACTGACACAATAAATGGGCGCACAAAACTGACAAAACCCAAAACGGGTACAAAAATACTGACCCCACAATACTGACACACAAAACTGAAAACAAAACTGACACACAATACTGACACACAATACTGACACACAATAAATGACCCCACAATACTTTTACGCACAAAACTGACACAATACTGACGCAAAAATACTTACACACAATACTGACCACAATACTGACGCAAATTTCTGACACACAATACGATAAAAACAATAGACGCACAATACTGACACAAAAATACTGACACACCCAAAACTGACACAATAAATGACGACAATAAATGAACACAAAAAATGACGCACAATACTGACGCACAATACTGACACAAAATACGATACACAATACTGACGGGACAATATGACCACAATACGACAAAAAACAATACCGATACACAATTCTGACCACAAAACTGGGCACAAAAATAAATTACACACAATACTGACACAAAAAAATGACCCCACAATACCCACACACAATACTGGGGCACAATACAGACACACAATACTGACAAAACAATACGAACAATACTGGGCGCACAATATTGACACCAAAAACACAATACTGACACCAATACTGACCACAATACGACCAAAATACTGACACACAATACGACACCAATACTGACACACAATACGACCACAATACTGAAAGCACAATACTGGGCGCCAAAAACCAAACCACAAACGCGCAAAAATTTCGGGCAACCAAAAATAAATGACACAATACTGCCCCAAAAATACTGACACACAATACTGACAAACAAACTAAAATACAAAAACGACACAATACTGACGCACAATACTGACACAATACTGACCAAAATACTGACGCACAATACGGCACAATACTGACGCACAATACTGAAAGCACAATACTGACGCACAATACTGACACCCCAAAACTGAAACCCCAATACTTTACGCAAAAATACTGGCACAAAACTGACGCACAATACTGACCACAAAATAAATGACACACAAACTGACGGGACAAAACCGGGCACACAATTTCTGACAAAGCAATTTCTGACACACAATACGACACAATACTGGGCACAATAATGACCCCAACCCAACTGACACACAATACCCGAACACACAATACTGACAAAACAATACTGACACACAAACTGACACAAATACTACAAAACAATTTCTGGGCACACAATACTGAAAAACACAATACTGGGGGAAAACAATACTGACACACAATAAATGACACATAATACTGACCCCACAAAACTGACACAAAAACTGACACACAATACTGACACAAAAATACTGACACACAATACTTTACCACAATGCTGACAACACAATACTGACGGGACAATACTGGGCGCACAAAAACTGAAAAACAAAAATACTGGGGCAAACAATACTGCCAAAACGACACACAAAACTGACACACAATACTGACGCACCTACGACACAATACTGACGCACAATACTTTACACACAATACTGACAAAAAATACTGAAGCACCCAAAACTGACAAAACAATACGCCCACAATACCTTTACACACAATAAATGAAAAAACAATACTGACGCACAATACTTTACACAAAAACTGACACCAATACTGACGCACAATTTCTGAAAACACAATACTGGGCACACAAAATGACGCACCAAAACTGAAAACACAATACGACCACAATACTGACCACAATATTTACGGGACAATACTGACACACAATACTGACGCACAATACTGACACACAATACTGACACACAATTTCTTACACACAATACTGGGCGCACAAAAACTGACACAAAATACTGACACACAATACGACCACAATAACGACCACAATCGACAAAACAATAAATGACGCACAATACTGAAAGCACAATACTGACCACACAATCGACACACAATACGACGCACAATACTGACACACAATACTGACACACAAACTGACCCAAAAATACTGGACACCCCAATAAAGGGCAAAACAATACTGACGCACAATACTGACACACAATACTGACACACCCAAAAAAGACGCACCAAAAACTGACCGGGAAAACTGCCCCACAAAGGGACTAGACCCAAAATCACATACAATATAAAAAAA